TTTATTTGGTTTGATTCAAGTAAACAAAGGTCTGAACATCACATGACCGAAGTATTATGCAGTCACGCGACATAATCAGTATGAAATAGCCCCTGAAAGATGGCGTTCGGAGACTTTTGACGGGGTCTGTATTTTAACTAAATTTAATTTTTTTTGTATATTAAGCTTAATATTAATTTATAATAATATTATATTTCTTCTAATAATATTGATTTTGATAAGTATCTAATCAGATACTTTTTATTAAAATTATCAATAATAATTATTATTAACATATATAATTTGATTAAGTCTTTTATTATATGTAATAGAAAAAATATATAAATATAAGTAATATAAGCTAATAATGTAATTTCAGATTACTACTAATACTTTATTCAATTAAAAATTTTATTACACAATTTTAATATCATTAAATTTATTAAATAATTATATTATAATTTTTATGTAATATACATTAATTATCAAAGTAGCTAACTATAGTGAATAATATAAATTTTTATTTTTATTTTTTCTTTTAGATAATTTATATTTCTAATATAATAAAAAATATTATCATTAAAATATTAAATAAATTTTAATATTTTGTAATATTTAAAATATATATCATTTTAAAAATTATATAGAAAATTATTTAATTTTATGATTTATTTCATAATATTTAAAATTGATATTTTTTGAAATGTAATTTACTAATAATTTTTAATAATTAATATTAATATAATAGATATTAATTAAATTTTTAAATATTAAAATATTCATGATTAAATAAAACTTAAATAAAGTTAATATCTTGCCATTTATTAAATATTATTATTATTTTTTTTATTATTAATATTAAGAAGTATAAATATTGTGATTATTAATTCTTAGTTTGAAAATTTTACAAATTATAATCTCAAATTTTTTATAAAAATCCATTAATTTTTATTTTTGAATTATAAATCTTGAAGATATCATAAATTTATAGATCATTTGATATTTTATATTGTAATAATATTTTAATATTATAATAATATGTTTTATTTAAAATTTTTTAAAATAATAAATTCATTTTTTTGTTATTTTTCTATATTTATTTATATTGATAAATTAATTATGTTTTTTATTTCTATATTTTTAGATGTTTAAATTGTAAATGTGAATTATTTTAATAAATATTAAATTGTGTATTGTGTATATTTTTAGAAAAAGGAAAAAAAAAGATTATTAAGATAGTTTATTTATTATTAGTAATATATAATCTATTTAAATATTCTTTTGAAAGTATAATAAAATAAGAGCAGGTACATTTTAAGAATATTCTTTTTTATCCAGATATTAATTATTTATTCAATTACTGATATTACAAAGGTCATAATAGGACCTTAATAATATGGAATCTTTGCAATAAAAAAAGGAGAAATAGCTGAAAAAATAAAAAATGAGTTAATGTTAAATCTAAACATATTTTGATCTAAAAATCATATTTAGTATATAAAAGTAAAATTGATTTTTTTTGACTATTTTTCTCTTTTCTATTGCAAAGATGATTATGCAGTAAATACTATTATATATAGGAGCGGTCAATAGAAGAGGAAATTTATAAATTTTGAGTAATTTTAGTTATTAAGCTAGTTTTGTTCACATAATCATGATCAGCAAAGTGAACAAATAAAAATATTTTTAATTAAAAAGTGGATTTTCTTCTTTTCTACTGACTGCCTTTTATATTATGAAAAAAATATTTAATAATATTTTAATTTAATTTTTTTTTTTATTAAATAATTAAAAAATTTTTTAATTATATAATTTTCAATAAATAACAAATTTTTTGAATTATTAAATTGAATGGAAATAACTTTCAAAAGATCTACATTTTAATTTCTATAATTATGCAATAATAACTATCGATATAATGAATATTGATCATTGGTAGCTAAATATAAAATAGTAAAATATATAATTACATAAATTCACAACAAATCGATTTCTTATATATTAAAAAAAAAAAATTTTTTCCCAATTTAATTCAACCCTATTACCATTTTTAACCAAAAATCATGTCTAAAGTTGCTAGTTTTTCAAAGCTTCCAATAATGAATCAAGATAATATTTCTATCATAAAAAAAGCTGCAAAATTTTGCTTTATTATCTTGTTTCCTTTTGTATTCCCTTTCTTATTTCTTTCTTTACTTTTTATAATTTGTGTATTCTTATTTATTTAGTTCCCGTTTGTTGAGTATAAATTTTTTTATGAATAATATAATAATATATATATCTGTGAAATTACATACTAATATCGATTAACGTTTGATTAGACTTTATACTCTATATAATGTAATTCAAAGAATTCAAGCTAATCGGCCTGAAACGATTCAAACTTTCTATAAATATGAGAAAAGACCTGATCAAGCGTAAAGGTTTTTTGGTAAAAGAGTTTTCTTTTATGTTTTTAAATGGCATAGTGGCAAAATATATATTGTCTTGATGTAATCAATCTATTTATAGTTCGATTTAACAAGGATTTCAGGTGGCCCTCTTTGATGCCAGATGATCTTAGAGGAAGTGCTTTCTATTATATCACTAAAGATATGCCTGACTTTGATGCTGAGGTTAGGTTTAACACCATATTCTTCTATGACGTATTTGACAGAGGTGAATTTATTAGACATGAAAACGAGTGAGTAATGGTATACGAACAGAAGGTAATCAAATACAGACAGAAGTATAATGATAATAAATTAACCTCTGTTCTCGACTTCCTATTGATTAGACATATTTTTCATATGGTCTACTAATAAAGATAGTGACAGTTTATCATATCAATAATAGTAACGATTACAAGGTTTGAATTAGTATTTAACTTATAATTTTTAGAGAATAATTTTATTTTATTATAAAATTTAGTATAAATTCATATAACTTAAAGTTCAGGCGAAATCTGATTATTATGCCCAATCTGAATCTGAAATTTAGATGATATTAGTTACGCCTTAGCAAAAAAATTCTGAAATGTCTGATTGAGTCTGATACTCCCCAAATCTGAAATTCAATCTGAATTATTTGAAATTTTCCAAAACTTAATATTCACGTGAAAATTAAATATATAATATTATAGATAAGACAAACATTAATGCATTCACATCTTACAAAATGGAAGTTAATCAATTACTTCAATCAGATTATACTTCATTATCTCTAAAAGAAGGTGTTAACTCAAAAGAGTTTGGAATATAGTAACAAAAGTAACAGTAGTTTTTAAATTTTTGCTTCTCGAATGCTGTATCTTGATTATACATGTTCTTTTTGAATTCAAATAATCTTATTGCAGTACTGCATCGTTAAATCTAAAAAAAATGATACTTTATTACCTATTGTATAGCGTTAACATTAATACCAGGTACTATTCAAACAAATCTAAGCTTAATTTTGAATAGTACCTAGGATACTACATTCGGAGAAAGGTACTATATAAGGGAATATTATACAATAGGAATACAATAAAAGGATGATATTAATCATAATCGTTGATCATCTTTTTTTACTTTCAAATTTTTAACTTTTAACATTCCTTTGAAATAAGTCATAATATGTTATATGATATGAATGACATGAATTTCGCGAATAATATGAATTTTACAGATAATGTGATCAGAATTTTATTTATTTTAATTTTGGACTTTTTTTCGACTTTAAACCTTTTTTAGTTTTTTTTGTCCTTATAATCACAACATAAATTTGCTATTTTTTTACAACTTTGTTATAAGTAATATGGGTCCATACGCAAATAAAAATACCAACTATGCAAGAATATTAGAAAAAGTACAAAGAGTATAGAATATAAGAGAAAAACTTGCTATTGTTATGTATTATGAAAAGAGACATAGTAAAAATGGAACAGCAGCTAAATTTAATATTAAAACTAAACATGTTTGTGACTGAGTATCTAAAAAAAGAATAATTTATGAAAGCACAATCTAGTTTAAAATGTTTAAATAAAAGTAAACGTCTAAAATATCTAGCTTTAGAGGTAACTTTAGTTGAGTAGATAAAGAAAAGAAGAAGTAACCAGTAAGCAGTTTCTCAAAATATGATTCAAGTAAAAGCAAAAACTTTAGTACAACAACCACAATAGCAAGCATTCTATCCTAATATACAATCTTTTACTTTTAGTAACAAATGGTTAGATAGTTTAATGAGCTATAACAACTTAAGTAATCATCATTGTACTATCATCGTTCAGCATTTATCAAACAATTTATATGAAAACAATAAGAATTTTTAGCATTTGTTATGTATAGGAAAATACAACATGATTATCCCTTAACATTTATTAGTAATATGGATGAAACTCTATTGATATTTGATTTACTAAATAATACCACTGTTAATGAAATGGAAGCAAAAACTATTAGTATTCGTATAACAGGTCATAAAAAAACTAATTTTATAGTAGTTTTAACTTGTATGATAGATGAAACTAAACTTCCTCTTCTTGTAATTTTTAAACTTAAAAAATTTCCAAAAGAAAATTTTTCACAAGAAGTTATTGTTTGTGCTAATCCAACTGGATGAATAAATGAAAATGAAATGTTATATTAGATTGAAAATGTTTGAATTAAATGTGCTGAAAGACTTTCTAATTCACAATCATTATTAGTTTTAGATTCATTTTTAGCATATATTGTTAATTTTGTTAAAAGGCATTTTAGAGAAAAAATACTAATATTGCTGTTATTTCTGAAGGATTAATATCTCAATTACAATCTTTAGATGTTTCAATCAATAAATCATTTAAATCAAAGGTAAGATTTATTAATTTTATTAAATATTTTATTTTTATT